AAGCAGAGTCTTTTTGGATTCCACAAAAATTAATCTTACCCCAGATATTTTGCAAAAAATGTTATGTTCTACATATCAGTAATTTTCAGTGCAAGCCTTATTTCATCAAAAAAAAAAAAAAATCCATCAATGTAATTTTGCGGAAGATATAATGAGCCTGGTTCTACATACCGCTTCTTTTATCAGCTCCAATCTCTCATTCTCCAGGGAAAGCAGTACAGAAGTGTCTTGTCCTTTGATAGCAATAGATAACTAACCTCATTTTGTAAAAGCAGAACTAAACAGAAGAGTTATTCTTTGTCTTCAGCAGAAGCAGTGAATCAGACCTCATTGCCTTGTACTGAACCCGATTTAAGGCAATTCGATGCCTTACGCATAATCGAGAAGCTTACAGTTGTACCTCTTTCCCCACCCCCCCGGCTCTTTACCTGGCATTTCTTTATGCAACAGGGTACCAGAAGGTTTTATATTTAAGAGGAACAGGACAGGTCGTATTTTCTGAAACTGTATTTTCAGGCCTGCTGCATCCTTACCCATCTGTTATGTTCAGGTCAAATTTTTGTGTTTCTGTGGCAGTAAGGATTAAAGATGTAATTGCTTTTAAAGCAGCTATTTTCAGCTCTTCTTAGCCACATAACCCAGGGCTTTAGACAAACACTTCATGCCACAGCCTTCATCTAGCCGGTGTTAACCAATTAAAAAAAAAAAAAAAAAAAATTAGCCAAGGATAACCCTATTTACCAAAGCTTTTTTTTTCCCCCCTTGATTTTAGGTATTGCTAGATACCTACTGACGGACTAAATCAAAACCAAATGACAGAAGAATTTCGGATTTAGAGAGGTATTCGGTTACAGTGCCATAAAGAGACTGTGATCTAGATGTACCTCTGTCTAGACTGAGTTTCCATTGTGTAGGCAGGCATTATACAAAGTCACTTTCCTGTCCTGTGATGACTCCTATGACCTGAAGGAAGAGGAAGAAGACTTGATGCACATCACACAAATCACTTGGTGTGATTTTGTTTAAATGATCTGCATGACAGAAATCAATGTTTTTGTGCACAGTCGGTATGACAAATCAAAGTAACTTAGGACAAAATGCCCGTGTTGTACTGACAGATGGAAAGTACAAAACAATCTGCACAAAACAGTGTTTCTCAGGCAAAAATAAACTGAAACATTACTTAAGAAACATTATGGAAATTTAAATAAACAAAAGCTTCAGTATTACAATCTACCCTACCATTTTTCTAATTAAATGAGAAGTGCTTCACACTTTCACGCAACATTAAGATGACTATGAAAACCACAAGCCCACCTCTCCACGCATTCATACTAGTGTTACTCCAGTCCACTGACTCCAGTGGAATAACATCTGATTTACAGTAAAGTAAAGCAGGAGGACAAACAGACCCGAAGACTGGAAATAAACCTGAGGTTTTTGATGAAACATAATCCTCAGCATGGGATGCAAAAGGTGATTTTTCTGACAAGTGCTACCCAAATTCTTCAGAGCTGTCTGTATGTAACCCCATCTCACTTCATCCTGACATAATCTTAATTAGTCTTAGTTCTACTGCAGAGAAGCCTACTGAGGCAGTTAGCACCATATAATTAATCAGATATTTTGCACGCATCACAGCAACCAACAGTGTCAACTTACTGATGTGAGTTAATACAAAACAGAAATCAACCCTGCCTTTCCCTTTCACATGAACTAAAAGCATGTGGCATGGAATGAACATACGACTATTTCTTCTATACACCGCTTAATGTCCTTTCTTCCCTTAGCAGCCATTTCCTAATGCATCATTACTCTCTGCAAAGTATAATTTATTTTTTCTGCTGGTACTAGGAGAATACATCTAGCAACAGAAAGTAATGTACTTACAAATATACAACACACACACTAACTCACTGGATTAAAAGCTTCATTGCAGGAGCCAAACATCAAAGTATTGTGCCTAATGTCACCGAGGGGGAAACCATGTGGTTACGTGATTTGATGGCAACGAAGCCACTGCTTAAGGAAAACAGTTTTATAAAGCTGATTCTCCATTCTCCTAAGCTTAAACTGAAATAGTTCAATAAGCAGTATAAAACCACAAGAAGGTTTATTCAGTTTTGTATGGCAACTGTAATATGCTGCGGTATTTATTAATAGTAAATGCAACGTTTAACACATGGCAGTGTTTAGCTCCAGTAGAAGACTGTAAAACTACTTGCAAGAACAATTCAGTCCATAACTAATATTCAATGCAAGGAAGAGTAGTCTAATGTTTTGTGATTTCTCAGATTCTCAGAACAAACCAGTGAGATAATAATCTTCACAGAAAGGCAGTATTTAAATGATAGTTTATTTTAGGAACTGACAGTAAACTGCTTAACACCTTCTCTCTACAGTGTTTGTGCCCCAAAGCAGTTAAGCATCTAAGGTAGGAATTATTAAAAATTGTGACAGCTCTAGTGTTTTCATTTCCAGTGAAATCTCAGCATAGGAACATGTACAGCTTATTCACTACCCGACACAAGGAGTCATTCACCATTATTATTTTTTAACCTCTTGGGATGTTTTTTTGTATTTTAAGGCTTATCACAAGAAATTAGGCAGCCTACTGGAATTGCCAAATGTTTCAGGTGCTGCCATCCACAATTACTGCTCATCAAACAAACAAATCTAATGTCTATTTCTAAGTACCTAATTGCCCTGCCTCTCCCTCCTATATGAATCTTCTTCATTTATTTTAATGCCAGAAGAATACAGCAATTATAACTCTGATAAGACCACTACCAAGTTTGTTTTATCCTAACTACACCAGCAGTAACTGAAGATAATCAACTGTTCATTTTTGTTCCTGTTTTAGCAGATGGCAAATATGTTATCAAACAACAGAAATGAGGATATATGTATAGGAAGGAAGGATAAGATGTGGTAAGTTTATTCCAAACAACTCAAAGCCCATCATCAAGCTACCTATATGCACTGATGCCTCTTCCATCCTAAAGACACAGCTGTCCTTTATCTTCTAACCCTGAGCTACATTTTATAATCCTACAGTCACCTGCGCTGTCATCTAATTCAGATTTCGCACTCTGAAACTTAGTCTGAATGTCTGACATAACATCGGGCTAGCATAACATGCATGTGCACCGCAGCAGGTTCACAACGTGGTTTTGATTAGTGATTGTAAGACTGGGAGTAGGGTGTGAATGGGAAGTCAAGACAAGGGGCAGAAGGCAACAGAGGTGAAGTCAGATTCCTGGGGATAATTTTGCCAGCAATAGCTGTGTTTCAACCCATGATTAAAATCTTAGTATGAACAAGGCAAAATGAAGCCTAGACACAACCTAAACTGTTCCAAAGGGATTAGTCATCATAATAAGCTCATCATCAGACTGTGTCTACCTAAAGATTGTACACACTGAGAATTGCAGAGAAACGCAAGTCTGAGTCCGCGAGTCTTCCCTCATGACTTCCGTTATTAACTCAGTCTGACAGTCATCATCTAGACAAGTTCTAGCGAAACTCCCACTGTTTTGGATTATTTTTCCAGTCTGAAGTGCCAAATTTCTTATTAGGCATGATCTTGGATGACTGATGTATCTCTTTCCAAAGCAAACTTTACTAGCCTTAATCATGATAAGTTTCATCAGTCTGGGAACATATGACATTTTACTTTATCACATGCTGTAAGTTTATCACATTTGGTCACATCAAACCTTTCTTACTCAGATAAATGGTATATTGACAAGAACTTTTAAAAGTGGACTAAACCAGAAATATGGATGTTTGGGTAGTGGTTTTAAAAGATTTAAAAACTAATAGCATTCTTCTCCATATTTTCCTACTTGATCACGTAGCTAGCATTTTTCAATGCTAGAAATATTTAACACTTCCAAATCACTCAGAAAATTCTGAAGTCTTGGCATTCACCTAAAATCAGACTAAAAATTACTTACTTTCAACACACAGTATGTCCTTAGTTGGGTGATGCTATTAATCTTCAGTGTGAAAAGCACAGCCACTGAAGACTTGATCTTTATCAATATGCAGTAGCCTAGGGTAGCAGAAGTTTGTCACAGGAGCCAGGAATGGAATCTAAGCTTCTTTGGCTCTATCCCCCTTGATCTGAAGAACACCTTGCAGTTGTTAACCATAAAGCTGGTGAGAAGGGCAGTGGCACATCTATCTGACCCAAAAAATGCTACCCAGGTGAAATCTGTCACCAAGCAAATTCTGTACACTCAGAGCAAGTGGCAACAGCTGCTCCACAGAAATATGCAAGACTCCTCACCGAAAATGGTTTCTGATACTTAGATGTCTTTTTGACAGGATTTGCTACCTTTGGTGCTTCTTAGTAGTGCACAATTGGCTTAAGCGTGGAAACACTAGTTTTAGTATCTTTTCATTTAGTAAAACGTATCTGGTCATTCTTGTCATGTATCTAAATTCATCTCTGGATACCCATGTGACATATCTAGAGCATCTTTTCTCCAGCAGAGCTCTAAAGCAACTTATGCATTATATTCTTAGACCACTATTGATGCCTAGACATCTCCAGAGTGTATCTTAGCATGGATTACCTTTGTCCAGTGACAGAAGAAATTAAAGTGGTGTGGGATTTGCAATGTCACACACAGCGGAAGGTCTTGCTTAACAGCCTACTTCATAGTACCAACTTTATTTATTTTGCAAGGATTCAAAAACCCTGGCAAGTGTTGAGTCTGCAGTTCCAGGGAAACCAGGTATTCCAAATTGAATGCTTACACTGCTAACACTATCCTCCAGACAATCTCTTTACAAATGATCAGTAATATGAAAATGCCTTCCTTTCATTTAGCCATTCATTTTAGTTTCTTCAGAATAAACTTGTTTTCTAGGACCATCAGAATGTGCTACCTGCATCCAGAAGAAAACTGGGATGGGCTGCACATACTGATTCTGGTAACACTTCTAGCAAGTTATGAAATAGAAAAATCACTTAAAATGATGGTGCTTACCCCGTTCTGTGTCATAGAGGTACACAAACTTTTCCCACTTATAATGAGTCAAGAGACTCAAGATGGCTCCTTTTAAGGCTGGCCGCATCTGGATGACAAACTGCACATCTGCATCTGTTGGGAAGCTGGGTGTGACGAAGGAGGTATGTAGGGCTCCACAAAATGACGTCAGCGTGTTCATTGACATCTGGTCATAGAATCCAAAGATGGCATAAACTCCTCTGGAAAACTGTGAACAGACTAAAAAAGACAGATGCGGTGTTAAAATCTGACTGATAATGGACACAAACTTTCAAAGTATATTTGAAGTAAGCCTTCTAAGCAATCCTCAAATTATTCTGTATGATGCAGCAGATGGAACGAATTCATGAGATAATATATACTAATTTCAGTGTGGCTGTGAGTTGTACCAACTTTGTCACAATTAAACTGGCCTGAGCACATTTTTGATTGCTATTTGTCCTGCTATATTGTTATAATCCGCTAATCTCTCCATATTCTTTAAAAACAAACATGGGATTACACTGCTTGTCTGTAAAATACCTTCCCTCCCTCGAGTAGCACCTTGAGAGCTCTGTTAGCAGCTACGTAACAAATGTCAGGTCTGCCTAAAAGTCAAAATGTTAAGGTGTAGTTTTCCCTGGTACCCCACCTTGATTCAGCTCTGATTCAAAGAAATCTGTGTTTTATTCCTTTATAGTCCGCAACTCTGAAATCTCTGTATGAAATCTGGGTGTGGTCTTTTTCAGTGAGAAATTATGGTGGCTTCTTAACTGAATGTTAAAATCTTTCAGAAACAATTTGGAAAGTGTATGGCTCATAAATGACAACACAAGTGAGGAACACGTATTGTTGCTTCATGGGACAAAAGTTGATACCCCTGAACCTGGAAGCTTTTAGTCACTAACCATTCCGGTGTCCTGAGGAACTCATCTAGTACCAGAAAATAATAAAAATGCAGTCAAAGGCGTTTTGTTTCACATGTACTTATCTGGGGAAACACTTCATTTCCCATACTTTATAGAGATTGAACAATTACCCTTTTGGACAAAAATGAAAGTATTTCAATTTATAAACATGGTCAACTTCATGGGAGTTGCAGGGAAAAGAGTTTCTTTGTTGTCCAACTCTGTAGGAACAGAGCAAACCTCCTGTGACCCTGGGTTCTTTCCATGGAGGGAGACTGCATCAGGGATAGCGAGGGAGCCTGATATGTGAGATGCCGGGGCTCCTGTCCATAACAAAAATTGTACAACTGAAATACACTACAGCATAGCAGCACTTCTAAATCAAAATATTTCTGGACTCAGATAGGCAAGTCCCATTTGTAATGAAAACACATTTCTTAGAAAAACGTTCATTCAACATAAACAATTTCGCTTGTCAAGAACTGGACTAACCAACAATTTTCAGCTAGTCCCATTAACCACTTTTGCCAAAACACTGCATATTTAACTTTGCAAAAAGCAAGGGGAACTAATTACCAGTAAAGAAGACATGACTTCTACACAGAAATATACAGCATCGTTACTTCCGAAAGTACCATCATGAAACATCTTCTACCACAAATGCTACTATTCAGAATCACTAAAGCCTCTTAAAGTAATTTTAAAAAGGATTCTCCACAGTATCAGCTCATTGACACACCATCATGGATAACACCTCAAATAGGTAGTCAGGTGTGAAAATTCTATTTTCTTCCTGGAGATCCAGATGCAAAACCAGAAATGCTATTAAGGAATTTCTTTAAGTGTTTAAGCCACTGTATCAGGATGTGACCAGTAGTGGATACCAGCAGCAAATAACAGCTGGTGTAGATAGAAAAGACGCACATGAGGCACAGAGAGGGAATAAGAAGTAGTGATTTCTGAAAGAAAAGTTTGTGGAAGTTCTCAACCGCAGTAAAGAAAAGATATAAAAAAAGTTATAATACAGCAAGAATTTATTCCCAGAGGCATGACTGAGGAATTAAATACACAGTTTCAAAAGGAATTTTGTTAAACTATATACCAGCAGGATATAAAGTAGAAAAGCTACCATAAAAATTATCTGCTAAAGTAACAAATAAAAGGCACTAACTTACAGGTGAAAAAAGGGGAAAAATACATTAGAAAGTCTGGCAGTCTCCAAATCATTTCAGTGGCGTGTAAACCCTAATTCCACGGGAATAATCACTGAAGTGGGGCTAGCTGAGCTGGGTGTCCTCACATACACTGAGTCAGAACCTCACCGATCAGGCTTCTTTCCCATATTTATTAATGGCCTAGTTTACTAGCTTTTTATGCAGATTCTGTACTGCAGAGAAAGCAAAGAAGAGCAAGTATTCAGGAAACATCCCTTCTTGCAATGCAAAGAAAACATATTCTCAAATGTCTCCTGACCCTAAAATCCCACAGTATTTCAAATGATTGGGGGTTCACCCATTATTTCTTATCGGGTATAAGGCTCAGGAATACTTTTGAACTGTGACTCCACTGAAATCTCTCAGATTTACAGGGACACAGTATCTGAAAAAAGAGTCAGAAGGGGGCTTGGAAAGCCTACCATGCTATCTAAGTGTAGGACTATAATGAAGAATACAGATTAGCTCTTGTTAGGACTGCTTGTTCCTATATCCCACAGAGTCAGTGGAGAGAACTGGTGCACTGCTAAAGGTAACCGACAGCGGCTGGCTCCAGCACGGACCAGCTCCTCTGCCCTGTGCTGGGAACCAGCTGAGAATTGGTCTGGTTTGTGCTCTCTCTTCTTCTTAGAGATACGGCACCTAGGCACTGTGGTTAACAGTTTAAAAATGGTTCAAGGTCTTTGTCCTTTGGACAAAATTGTGGTTTGCATGACTATTTTAAAACACTGAATTAAGGTGTATCTGTTTTCATAGCAGATTGTGCTCATTTATGCGAAGAGCCCATTTTCAATTTGTGAGTAATGTCAGAAAAAAATCAGAGTCTGTGAACAGCCTGACCGTAAGCAGGATCTTCTCCAAACAATACCTAGCAGCCAACATGGAGCTGCTGCTTGCATGGAGCATCCCAGCACAGGTGAGAGCTTCTGATTTGGCCTTCAGACATTTGCAACTTTTTTCCTAAAAATTCTGGAGGAGCACCAACAGTATCTTCTAACAAGTGCACCCCCCTGCCCAGTCTTATTTCCCCTGATTCAGGTTTGTATTCACTGCAGATCTTTGAGATTTAACACTTTTACAGACTACCTATCTTCTATTAGTTTTGAAAAATCATCTCTTAAGCTCCTCTACTTATTTCTTACAGCTTATTCTTCTTGACTATCTATTCCACATGCACTGTAGGGTGCCAGTTCAATTTTACTGGTCCATTTAAAAGGCAAACAAACTTTTGTTTTTGTAAGGAGAAGCTAAAAGGCCAATTATCTGGTCCTGAATGTTCATTTGCATTTTTGAACTCACAATTTTGTTCCAATTTTGTAGCATTAGGTCTTCTGTTTAGTTTGTGACCCAATCTCCTATGTGATCAGATGAACGTACTGAACATCCACAAACCCACAGCCATGTTGTTACGTGTTTTCCAAAAACCAAACGTGTAATTATATGCATTTGAATTACATTATTATTCTAACATCACTGAGACAGAAGCAAAATTTAAAAAAGGCTACCTAAACCTTAGCTTTAAGCTCTTTTTACAAAGTACTTTCTATTGACAATCAGAACAATCCTCATGTTGGCGTAAGAATTTTGGTATTTTTCCTTAATTAATCACAGTTGATTTATGTCTGGTTTTCCCTACTTGAAAAATGCAGATACTCAAACACATACTTTGTCTGTTAAAGAAGTGATTTGGACAAATCCTGATGCAACCTCATTCCTCAAAAAAACCCGCGATTTTTTTTTTTGCTGGGCTATGCCTTTATGAAACTGCTCTTAATTATAGTTATTAATACTGTGGATGTGCATCTGTTTCCACAGACAGCACATAACCAAGTTGCTTTATAACCTGATCTGAAAAAGTTGCAACCTCCACAAATAAGGGACAGTATCCAACGGGGCGTCATAATAAGCCATTATTTTGGCATTAGGTGCAAGGTGAGTATTTACTAACAGAGACTTAACTCTGGGCTGATTCTCAGAGTAAGTTAGCTGCCACATGCCACCATCTTCAGGAGAGGAAGGGATGGTATGACAGAAGCCTGCGAATTCTCAAGCATGTCAAGAAAAGATAAGGAACTTTCAGGTCATGAGAGACCGAAGTGTTTCCTGCCAAGGATGGAAAATGCTCAGAGCCAGACTGATCACAGTGGTTAAGCAGAATCTGCATTTAAAAAAAAAAAAAAGGCAACCAAAAAAACCAACCCAACCCCAAATAAATAAAAATCTGTGTTTCTGTACGGAACAGCAGCTGAGCCATCCTAAACATCAATGTAACTCAACGAACCCCGGGCTTCTGTTTTACTAGCAGTTCCATCCTCCCTCCAGTCAAATCAGCCCCACCACAAAAACTTGCTAAGGTTAACCAGATGTGATTTTTTTTCCACTCAGGCCCCAGTAAGGCCACAGGCCAGAATCTCAAAAGATGCTCCATTTCACACAAGTTTATTAGATTAGATGTTTTGTGTTGTTTTAAAATTTATTTTTTGCTTTCTAATAGTATTTAGTTCTTCTACCTTTTAGTGACTGTGAGTATTCCTGACACAGCAAGGTTGTATAGGCTCTGACATTTCTACTGTCTATTGCCTGGAAGCTAAAGTCAAAACTTCTCTGACACCTTTTTTTTTTTTTTTTCCTTAACTTCCAGTTCTTACTATAAACAACTGAAGCGTTACTAGGAACATTTACAAGTAGGTTTGGAACATTTTTTTCTTGTTTAAAGAAAAGCTGTATAAAGCCACAAAAGAAATACGTTAATGGGTGGATCTTAGTACGCCATTTCCACTAGATGATATCATTAACGACTGACTTGTAAAAGTCGGCAGGATCCTCCCAAGCGTGGCATACAGTGCACTTCTGCCCAGGGGTGTAACAGCCTGGTAGTTTTGGAGTCAGGGGTTGGAGGTTACAATACCTCAAGACACTATTCCTTCTTCATTACTGTTTGTATGGACAAGTAATTTCCCCGTTGTTCCTATCAATTTCTTATAAAATAGGTCTGAAAAAATTAACCTATGTCAAAGGAGCACCATAAGGCCTGCTTTATTGATAATTATACAGCTCTTTGGGATGAAAGGCGCTGTAGGAGCACAATCACAATTGACATTATTGCGTGTTGCTCATACCAGGTCCTTGGTTTTGTGTTCTGTGTTTCCC